GAATCTTGAAAATTCTTATACATATTTTATATATAAAGATTTTCGAAAAAAAAAATTGTATATAAACATTTCGAAAAATATGAGGACAGAAGCAATGTGGATTTCATCTTGGAAAATAATCCCAGAAATTGGTATTGTTGATATATATTTCCAGAAAATTGCTTGAAAATATGAATATAAAATTTATGTTCTATGCAAACAGCAATAATAGAAAGTTGTATATATAAATTCATAGAATATATATACGATCAGAACATATAATCAGGTGTATAAACTCACAGATCATAAAAATATGCAATTTGAAGCATCTGCAAATAATAAGGCTTAGAAAACTCGTAAAAGTACCGTTCACCGGGATTGAGCGGCTGATAACGTGTTGTAATATTGTTTATGCCCGTTGGCCTTTAGCTCTTAACCGGTGATTGCAGGATTGGATCAATATAGATAAATGTAAATGTACACGAGACAAACAGAGATAGAACAAGAGACAAGGAGAGTCATTCCATTCCACAAGTCCACTCAATACAATGTTACAACAAGCATATATAATGTACAAATAATAATGACGATACTAATGATGACCGTTATAACAGTTATGTATTGAATGCCCATAATGTCCACCATAATAATATATTTATAACAGTTCACAATTTACATACATAATTGTGAATATTTAATATGTAAATTGTGTATTTTGAATAAGGTGGACTCGAGTCTAAAGAATAATTTGTCTCATTTTACATAATGGCTCTTGTAGGGATGTCAATCGGGCCAGTCCACTCGGTTTCGGGCTAGCCCTGTCAGGTTATCGGGCTAATCGGTTTATTAATATTTTATTTTCGGATTCGGTTTGGCCCTAATCCTAAACTTCGGGTTGTCGGGCTAATCAGGCGGGTTGAATATATATATATATATATATATATATATATATATATATAAATAAATATATATATATATATATATATATTTATATTTATATTTATATTTATTTATTTATTTATTTTTAATTATAATAATTATTCCATATATGTTAGGTTTCACATCACTTCTATAATAAAGAATAGTTTTCAATAGTTCGGGTTGTCGGGCTAGCCCTTTTAATGTCGGGTTAGCCCTATCGGGCCATCGGGTTAATCAGTTTCGTGCTCGTCGGACTAATGTGTTTTATCGGTCTAGTCCGTTCGGGCTATAGCCTTGTCGATTTCGGTTTTATCGGGTTGGCCCATCGGGTTCGGGCTAAATTGACATCCCTAGGCTCTTGAATACATTTTATTGGCAATTTATATCATGAATGAGGGTCTACGTAATATTAATATATTATAGACCCTGAATCAAAACGATAAGGTACAAAATTCATACTCGTAAGGTACAAAATTTCATAACATAAGACACAAAAATCACAATACAAGACTCCTACACATGTTATATATTTACTTATTTTTTAAATTTGATTTAAATACAAAATTTGTGTTTATAGGCACAGAATTTCACAATACAAGACACAAATTCATAACATAAAAGTGATAAGATACAATTACTAATTTGTTTCAGGTACAAAAGATCAACTTCAACATTACTGATACTTAATTCGCACACTAAATTCACAACCAAAAACATTAATCAGGCTTTAGTTGAGTCAACTAATTAGAATTAACAATTTAGATGATCAACCAAATTTATGCACCTCAAGGTTTAAAGTTATGTATTTTAAGGTTCAAAATTTTGTACCTGAAGAGTTAACGTTGTGCACACTAAGGTAGCAAAGTTATGCACATGATGGTTAAAATTTATGCACTCATAGGCTAAACTCTATGCACCCCGATGTGCAAAGTTATGCACCTAAATTTCTAAGTTACACATTTTAAAGTTATGCACCCAAGGGTATAAAGTTATGCACCTTAATTTCTAAGTTATCCACTTGAAGAAGGAAAATAATGCACTCGAAGAAGGAAAATAATGCACCCATCTTTTGAGAAAATGCGCCAAGGTGAAATGCACAAATGCACCATAACAATGCACAGCTCTGGGATGTGCGATCGTACACTATTAGGTATGCATAACTACATCACACACTGTTGGAAATTTTGCTATTTCCGTCAAACAATAATGTTGGTCGGTAATTTGTAAAAATTCACAACATTCCGTCGCAAATAGAAGTGGACGGAACGTTGGACGGAAATTCAGTCTAACTGTAACACGTTGGACGAAAGTTCCGACGGCCACCAAATGTTGGATGGATTTCCGTCTAACAGTTGCGCATTGGACGGAAAATAGAATTGACTGGTAGGTGAAATGCAAACTGGTAGGTATTTTTAATTACCGTCCAACATTTTGTTGGGCGAAAATTTGAATATTAAAGCTTTCACTGTGTATTTCAGCTCATTTTCTTCAACTTTCCTCCATTTTTTCTCTTCTTCATTGTAAAAATTTGCTTCTTTGTTCGAAATTAGAAGAAGTAACAACATATAGAGTTATTTTTGACAAAATATATTCCAAATCCAGGTATGAGTTAAAAATAATAGCTTTTAATTTGTATTTAATTTGTGTTTGTGGATAATATATATGGACATTCAATTGCAATGTTATTATATAAAATCATTTATTGTGGTTATATATATATATATATATATATATATATATATATATATATATATAATCAAATTTTATAATCAAAGTTTTGTGATTTTGAGATATTTGTATTTTTATAGTAGGCATATATGGATAGTATACTAGAACATCGAAAATAGATGTATAAACGATTGTTGCTTGGAAAGAGAGGATACATTGATGAAGTTTTAGCTGGTGTTGAGGAATTTGTTAATTATGCATGCACACTTCCAGTATACGAGTCGACAAATACAGTTAGGTGTCCATGTAGTAAATGCAAGAATAGAGTACACTTATCTGCTGATGAAGTCTGTGTTCACTTGTATAAGAAAGGATTTGAACCGTATTATTGGGTATGGACGTGTCACGGTGAGCCGATTCGCACGGTAAATGAACAATTTCCAGAGACACGTAACGAAAATAATCAGTATGAAACAATGGTGTTTGATGTAGGTGGTTCATCATTTATTCCATTTAATGTGCAAATTACCAAGAAGAAGATCCACATACAAGTGCAAAAAACTTTTATGATTTATTAAGCACTGCTAGGCAACCTTTATCCGCTACTTGTGCTGAGGAAACATAGTTGTCATATGCGCTTAATATGATGAATATAAAGACAACCTTTAACATTCTGCAACTAGCAATGGATCAAATATTTGAGTACAATAAGCATATAATGGGTCAAGATAATCGAGTACCGTCTAGGTATTACGATTAAGAGAAATTGATCTCAAAGCTTGGTCTTGGTCATGAGAAGATTGATTGTTGTGTTAATAGCTGCATGTTATACTATAAGTCTGATATCAATGATAGACAATGTAAGTTTTGTGGTGAGCCTCTTTTTAAACCACGTCCACCTAATTGTACTCGTGGGAAAGAAGTGCCCAAGAAAAAGATGCATTACTTGCCTCTCATCCCTAGATTGCAGCGATTATATGCATCACCTAGTTCTGATGAGCACATGAGATGGCATTATGAAAATCATCGCCAACCAGGTGTTATGTGTCATCCTTCAGATGGTGAGGCATGGAAACACTTTGATAGTCAATATCCTGACTTTGCAGCATATCCTCGTACTATTAGACTAGGTTTGTGTTCTGATGGGTTTTCTCCATTTGGTTTAAATGCTAAATCATATTCTTGTTGGCCAGTTATGGTTGTTCCATATAATCTTCCACCTTCAATGTGCATGACTCCCCCATATAAATTCTTAACTTGTATTATTCCTGGGGAGCACAACCCAAAGGTCAACATTGATGTGTATCTACAACCTTTAATCAATGAGCTTCAATTGTTATGGGAGATAGGAGTTTTAACTTATGATGTCTCATTAAAGCAAACCTTTATGATGTGAGCTATGTTGATGTGGACCATCAATGACTTTCCTGCTTACGGAATGTTATCTGGTTGGTAAACCGCAGGCGAAAATCTACCTTCTTCTTGAATAATTGAGAAGATAGAATTGGGAACCCACAGAGGTTTTACTTATATCTCTTCTCCTTTCACATTTCGTTGAATTTTCTATGTTTTCCCCAATTTTTATTCGAGTTGATTGTTGATTTTTGTTAAAATTTTCTGTGTTTTCCCTCTATGGTGCTTAATCTGAAAGGTACACACTGTCTGTGCATGCAGTTATTGCCACTCGGCATACATAGAGTCTTCATAAGATTACGGACTAATCTAAATATATGCATGATTAGAGGAAGAAGTCGAGGTAAAGTAGCAACCACTTCTTTAATTTCCAATTTCTAAAACTATAGACTATGTTTATGTTCCATATTTATTTGCCCTTTTATGGCACAAGGATGTAAGCTTTGCTTTCTCTTTCTACTTCTATTTTAGTGAATTAGTTATTTTTCATTCTTAAAATGTAGTGCCAATTGCAAATATGTATGGAATGTGTGATGTGAGTCTATTCTTGATTACTTTTTCCTGATGAAGAATCGTGCACCTATAGATTACCACTAATCTTGTTCTGCAAGTATGGATCTATCGGTTTAAATATAGTACATTTTGGTCTGATAAAACATATGTTTGGTGCATTTTAGCTGAGAATGTAAATATAACACTGCTAATATGAAACTGCAGATAGATAGGAGTCTGGATGGATGATTAGATGTGTATTGCAGAGGGTCGACTAGCAGAATGGTAACTCTAGAGGCTCCTATACTTATTTTGTTATTATCAATCCACTCATTAACCCTTTTTATGGTAGTTGATTTAAAAAAAAAAAAAATTCTGAGAAAACGATGTATTGAACTGGGATGCTTTTGGGGGTGTTGTGGAATAGGTAAAAGATTAGTTCACTAGTGTTGGTGGTGGATAGTGTGGGTATGAATGATTTGCAATAGAATATGATTCATGAACTTCATACTTTTTTTGAAATGCCCTAGAACTGCTATGCTCAATATCACTTTGCAACTAACAAGGTTCATATAATTGGTTTCTTGAATTCGATTTGAAAGTACTATATGCACATATATAACTACATAATCAGCATCAAGATTTCCTTCTTGGTTTCTTGAATTCAATTTGAAAGTTCCTTCTTCTTGGTTTCCTTCTTGGCCTTTTTCGAGTTATCCATGTGTGATACAATGTGTGATTTCCACTCACTTTATGTCCATAAAAGGCACCAGCAAGCTGTGTGTGGCCACGAACATGACAAAATATCTATCTATCATTATAATAAAGCAGTAACTTTCTACCTAAAACACTTTTCCGCCTAGACTATACTGCGTCGTTTCAATGGTAAGATAACTCAATCAGTCTAATTAATTGTGTTTACATTACTTTACACTTTTCAATGGGATATTGCCGGCTAAGATTGGTATTACCAATGTAAATGAATACACTTCTAATAATGAAAGACTTCTAATTACATTGAGAAACCAACCTATAATCTACATTTATTTACATATATATACTGATATATACAGATACAGATATACGCATACATAAAATGCTTCGAAAAACAATATGTTGAATGTAATCTTGGGTATTGAAACGTTTCTAGCAACCTTCATAGTTCCAAGACAATATTCAAAATTGAAACACAAATTTCAGCCTCTATATAAAGCTCCCTTCATATCAATATTCACTCACAAGTTCACAATCTCTCCAGTTTGAACAACCTGCAAATACGCAAACAAAGAACCAAAAATCAGGGTTAAAGATACTACGACATCTCAGTATTGATAAAACACAGTTGCTTGAAGATTACAGTGTGCACATCTGTTAAAGCTCTATACACCTGCACATCTGTTTTTTTTTTTTTGTTTTGTTTTGTTTTTTGACAATTGTATTGATATTTTTTCTGGATTATGCATGTGGACAGAAAAAATTGGTAGCACAGTTTTTTGGAAACATTTCTATTCTCACCTATATTATCTACTAATTATTCAGTTTTTTTTTCCAATTACTACTATATATTCATGCTTGGTTTCTTTTCTATTTCTTTATCTAATTTTTTGTATTAGACTATTGGTTTCTGTCACTTTGAAATGTTGCAGTACTCTGCAACAAGGCAGTGAAGATGAATACATTGGAATACCAAAATGATAATAAAACTTCATTTTTATTACCAATTCTAATATTCTAATATAAATATGTAATTAATACATTGTTTTGTAGGTAAAACAATGTAAGGAGAACAACATTCCATGGTGTTGAGGTGATTGCGGCAAAGCAAAGGCTTGATTGAAGAATAAAGTCTTGAAAGAGGTCATCGATATTGTGTATTAGTCAGGTGTGACAACTTCTGAGCTGAAGGGTACTATGTCAAAGGTTAGTGTAGAATTTTAATTTTTTTTTTTCTGAATACATATGGATTTCTAATCCATTTTTAATGGTTTAGGTTATCAAAAAAGTAAATAAGGAGATGCAGATTAAAAATGACACAACTCTGTTGTCTACTATTGTCCCAGCAAGAATTTTGTATAACAAATACAATAAGGTATGCTAATATTATATACTTGTTGGTTTATCTATCTAAAAATCTACCTATGTTTTACAAACACTATTTCTTTAGGTAACTGTTGATATCCCCCAGAACTGGAGAAAGTGATTGGCATAGCTATGATATTTAATATTGGATTTAAGAAAGAACAACAAAGGGATCCTACCTCAGGTTTTACTGTTTTAAGACTTTTAAGAGATGAACTATTAGTGGATACCTACTGTCCTAAGCTCAAGGTACACCAAGAATGCCTATTGTAACCACATGTAAATCCATAGCTTTGTAATTACATGTCTTTAATAAAGTTGTTTTAAATGAATTTATTTTTTTAATGGAAAGAAGGTAAAGTTTTTTTGAATGAATATATCTGGCTGTATAGAATAGAAAGGTGATTCACACTAACCTTTTTAGTTTTAAAACAGTATCAGAAAAATATTACATCCTTCAAAAAAACTTGGTCTTTAATTGACAGTTATAGGAAAATAATCTTTGGACATGGCTTAATTTAAATTCTGCAAACTGCACTATGGACAATATGTACTAGATTGAACCCTATTATCTACTTTTATTATTCAAAAATATTATGGTATGTTTTAAAAGTAGTTAAAAACTAAATAAGTTCTTAAGAAAATAGTGGCAAACAAATAGAGATTTTTTTAAGGGTCTAAATCAATAAGTAAACACAAGTCATCTTTTATTGTCCCAACCCGGCCTGGTTTATCTATCTATACTTATTTCTACAAGAAGCAAATATACTTTGTGTTTTTTGGTTTTGTATGGTGCTATCAAGGAATGTATCTAAGTTTCTAGATTGTGTATCTTAGTGATGTAATAAACTGAGATTATCTAAACAAAAGCATTTATGTTTCTATAATTTCTTTTCCTTAACTTTGAGCTCAAACTAAAACCACAGCCTTAAACAAAATGCTTAATTAAATGTAGTGAATCATATAAGATTGTAAGTGGAACGAATTACCTCCAAATGCAATGCAGTCTTCTCATTCATCCAAGCTAACTTTATCACAACATGGTGGTTGATTCCCTTAACCTGCATATAGTTAAGATAATAATTAGTTCACCGACCTATTAACAATCAAAGTTAATTGAAATGATTCAATACAATGTGCATAATTATATCGGAGTTGATCATTTAGATGATACACAAAAGCATCTACCTTCAAACAACAGTGTAATCAACCACCATAAACAACAGATTAGTACATTTGGGAAAGTGTTTTGAAACCCTTAACAACCCATGCAAGTCCAAAAGCTGCTTCGCCTCCCCATATTTGTCACTCATTAATTTATCTAGAAGCTTAGAAACAAGAGCAGGTTCATCCTCCTGATGAATGTAAAAAGGAAATATCAAAAGAAAGATCAATTGTGCATATAGCAAATATTTTTTATTTGAAAAGTGCAGTAAGCCAGTAAGGTATTTATAAGAAAAGGGGAGAGGACTTCAAAAGAAAGAAGTAAGAGCAACAAACAAAAGTAAAAATAAAGAGAAATAGTACATAAACAATAAGAAATTCAATCAACTTCACTTTTGGCTGATCAGGATAAGAGTAAAAAACAGGGGATTTAGGATTAGAAACTGATAAGTTATAAATTCAAATCAACATTACAGAACCCAATTCAACTCACTTGATTCATAGAAAAGTAAGGACCTATTTAGTAACCAAAGAATTCTCCAATTCTCTGGACAATTGGAAGGTAAAAAAATGGAAAACAAAGCTTTCTGTTCACCTACCCAAGACCACTATTTTTAAGTGCAAGCAGCACACTAATTGTCATCCTTCCTTAATGAAATTTTAAACCAATTTAAAGTGGCCAACAAATTTCTCAATATTACTGAACCAGAACATTAATTGGTGGTCTTTCCAAAAAAAAAAAAAAAAAAAAAAAAAAAAAAAAAACCATCTAAAACATGGAGATGATGAACACTCGTGTTAGACTTAAACCCTAAACCTAATCTGCGAAATCGAACGAAGGAACTTCATACCTTTCTTCAGATGAACTAAGAAAGTAGCTTATGTTGAGAAATTGCTCCAGATTATGGTTGTTTGGACAGGTAGTAACAGATCTAACGTCAGACGGTAATAGAAAGAGAAGAGAGAGCAGCGACGTTCTCTTCGAACAACGGTGAGAGGAGAGAGTTGGATCGTAAGAGAGCTGAAGCGGATTCTAGAGCCTTCAAGCCCTCTTTTATTTATTTATTTATTTATTTATTTATTATTATTATTATAATTATATGTGTTTGTAGATAAGTAGCGTAATGTGTATATATAATTATATTTTGTTTATTTCATTTTATAAGTCTGATTAATTACAATTATATATATATATATATATATATTTTTTTTTTTTAATAAAGTAATTAATAACTTTATTGGTATTTTGTAGAGATTTAATATTCAGATCAACGAGATATTTTAATTGTGTTTCAAAACAATGATTCGTCATCAAATCAAAATCAAAATCAAGTGATTGGAGTGTTCAAATCTTCACTATATAATACATTGAGTACATGCATTCATGGTTAGTATAGATCCGAGGCCATCATGGGTTGAAAATTTCACGACTGGACCAAGATTTTAGGGTAGAAGTTAGGACAGTGATGGAGAACGATTTGTGCCAAATAAAACCTCCACAAACAGATTTCAAGTACATTTTAGGGTGGATTGTAGGTTTTCGGACCAAGAAAGCGAGAACGGTGAAGTCGCGATCGAGATGAGAAAGAAGATGAAAGGTCGGCGATGAAGATGAAGATGAGGGCAAGGTGCTGTTTTATTACACTAGATTTGTGCTAGCGGGTCGGGTTGTTGTATAGGGTTAAGTATTTGTTTTGGGCCGTTTTTAAAATACGGAGTATTAATTTGATAACATATATTAAGGCTCGATTAATGTATTATATTAAGAAGGCCTGATTATTTTAGTGCAAATTATTGTAGGATCATGGTCCAAGTAGCTATATGAACCATGAATATCATTTACATTTTATATATACTATAATTAAATTTTTATTACACATTGCTACATTATTTGATATCGAGATATATTATATGTCTCTATATACACATTGCTAATGGACCGCAAGTGATTGATGAAATAAGTATGTACTATGATTGTACAATTGTTGATAGCATATTCCCGGGGTTTCGTAGTGGCAACAGAGATCTTAAATATCTAAAAGATCGTGCAATTTTGGCACCAACTTTGAATGTGGTAGATACAGTCAATGAATAGATGAATGAATATAATAATGCTGAAGGAAGGACGTATCTTAGTTGCGATTCGGTATGTAAATCTAATTGTAATGCTGACATGCTTGTTGATTTGTACACTCTTGAATTTTTAAATGGCTTATGATGTTCTGGAGTTTCAAATCACTCATTGACTCTAAAAGTTGGTTCAGCAGTTATGCTTTTGAGAAATATTAATCACTCATTAGGGTTGTGCAATGATACAAGAATGATCATTTCAAAGTTGGCTGATCATGTTTTAGAAGCTCAAATACTGTGCGGATCAAGTGCTACTACAGAGGTATTAATTCCAAGGATGTCCTTAACACCTTCTTATCCAAGATTGCCTTTTAAGTTCTAAAGAAAACAATTTCCCATAATGTTGTCTTATGTAATGACAATAAATAAAAGTCAGGGTCAAACACTGTCTAACGTGGGTTTGTTTTTAAAGAGTCCGATATTTAATCATGGTCAAATGTATGTAGCAGTGTCAACAGTTAGTAATCCTAATGGATTAAAAATACTTATTTGTGAAGAAAGTGTACAATCTAAAAATACGACTACAAATGTCGTATATAAAGAAGTATTTAATAATGTCTAATAAATTCCAAATTTTGTGCTATTTTTTTTATATATAATACTGTATACTATATTAATTATATTTATGGTCGTGCATCACACGGGTGCAAATACTAGTATGGATGACAACAATAGCATCAAGTGCAGAATATTCTAGCAGATATTGAGTTAAAGGTCGTTGCTCCCAGTTGCTATTCCGTCTTGTTTTGTTCAAATCAGTTCCCAATATTTTCTCCACTAGACCAGAAAGACCACCCCTCTGCTCTTTAAAAACATTCTGAATATCAAGTAGCATGTCATGCGCACTAGGCAGTCATCTAAAATATCTGGAACATCATTGTATAGTTTTATGAGATCAAGTTTAAAATATTGTTGAACAAATATCTTAGCTGGAACATCACTGCATTCCTATACGATTTGCAGTCTATCAAGTATAAAACATATTGCTGAACAAATATCTTAGCTGTTTGCTGGCCAATTTCATTGTTTGCATGTGAACTTTAAGGAACCATTTAGTTTTCTGCAACTGAACTTTAAGGAACCATTTAGTTTTCTGCAACTGATCTTGATCTGGTTGGCAGATGTATATTTAATCTTAACCATTTAGATGTCCTAAGGATTTGGCATAAATGTAAAGCATCATTTAGAGTTGATAACAAGACTACTGCAATACACTATGTTAGAAAAAAGATAATTATATGTGTATATATCTGTTAGATGTCCTATTCTTATTCTTCTTTCTCCCTTGTAAACATTCTATTCCTACCACCCAAATCAGACCTCTCTTCTCTTTCTCTTCTTGTATAGGTAGAAGTGCATTTAATATTGTATTTTATTAATTGCATTTGACTGTCATCCTGTGGTACTATATAGATGTCTCAACATAAAAGAAATAAAGGGAGTAAAAGGAAGACATGTACAAGTACTCAATCACAGCTTCACGTGTCACAACCGCTATCATTGCATCCAGTAATTAATGACTCGGAAGAAAAAAATAGAGTGACAACAGAAAGTAATGAAGTCAGAAGGCATTTGCGTGACACTGATTCTGAGCGTACTGCCTCAGCTTACAGGGAGAGTGAGCATACTGTTGAAGCAGCGACTGAACATAATTCTCAACCGACTTTTGAGCCATCAAATGTTCCACCAAGCACGATTCCAAATGACCGTAGGACTCTGATTCACCCAATAGGCGGAAGAGCGTAAGTACTATACATTTTCACAAATATTATAAAAATGCCATAAAACCAAACATTGCATTATAATTCAGATTTAAGCCTCATTCAGGACATCGTGGGATCATAGATTGCATACAAAAAGCATACCCACAGGCTATAAAATCATTTAAGGTTGCTCCTCAATATCTGAAGGATGTGTGGTTTAATGAGTTTAAGGTAAGTATTTTAGAAGAGTTTGTAATGGCATTAAACAACTGGACATATGTATATTAATTTGGTAGAGAAGCTATATTAATTCCCATGCACTCATATCTATTATTTCATGTTACTTACCAAAATATATAATTTACCTAATCATCATCAGTTGATCTTTTATCTCTGCTTCTGCTGTTTATACTAGTATATTTGTAACACCCCAGATTTTCGAAACTTTTAAAACTTATATAAAAAAAAAGGTAATCTCTTATTAAATCCCAAAACAGAGCATACTAATCATAAGTGTTTGGGGGTGCTATGCCACATCTGAGCTGGAGAACTCAGATGCACAGGCTAAACTATCTAATTATCCTCAAACAACGTCATTACATCATTATGTCACGCAGGCTGAATAGGAAACTAACTATCTAAGCCTCGGTTCCTCTAGCGCGCTCCGGAGCTAATCATCTGTGCCTGAAAGCCAAATATATCTGTTCAGCGAATAATGCTGGTAACCCACTCCAACGCGTTAAAATACAATATATATATATATATATATATATATATATATATATATATATATATATATATATGAAAACCATTTTGAAGCCGAAAGATATATACTTAGGAGGCTCTAGTTTTAAAATCGAGAATAGACTCAACAAGTAGGGACAAGCACATTCAACAGATATAATCATGCATATAAAGATACTGGCATATATCCTAAGGTCACAAGATTATTTCACATCATTCATATCATTATTCAATCATTATCTCAACACATAAGCACACTTTAGTGGCGGCACAGGACCAATCGCATGCCCATACATGAGGGTCAGCGCATATAGCACTAACACGCCCCAACAGCACCCTGCCTCGTATCGCAACACGAAGGGGTTGATCGCAACTAACCGATGAACCGTAGCTCATCATAACGTTTGATCGCAACCGAGCGGTGGACCGCATCCCAAGAAGTGTATTTCTGATGACAACCAGATTATGAACCGCAGCTCATGTATAACGTTTGATCGCAACCAAACGGTGGACCGCAGCCCTATATAATATTTATATACCTGACCGATCGCAACCGGCCTGGTTAACAGCCGATGGTTCTCAACCCATCCAACTGCCCGTATAGCCAATTTAATCGCAACCAAATTGGTGTATCATGCACACATAACACATAGCAAGCACATTCAACTCACATTAGCACACTGGGAAGGGGGAGAAAACGTATAAATAAACTTATGCATGGTCATCCACATACTTGGAATATTCCTAAGGGGTTCATACATCTTTCACCTAGGCCAACGGGATACCAATTCAACTAGCATGCAATACACAAGACTCTTTTATCCTACGAATGGTACACGAAACATCAAACTAGACTCAGGCACGACAAACGGGGTTCGCTGGGACACCTCAGGGGTCGGGGAAACATCAAACGGGAAAAACCACCATCCCACATTGGGAGAAACCAGCGGGTGGCCGGCGGCGAGACTGCTGGGCAGCGGGTGCCAGGCGGGCAGTCGGCTGCCCGCTGCCGGCGACGCCCATAGGGGCAGCGGGTAGGTGGCGGGTTCTCCTACCCACCTACCCCCCACTGACTCTTTTGCAATATTCTGGTCCCGGGATCTTTCGTTGAACCCGAAACCATGTCTAGACACTTTTAAACACAAACGATGACACCAAGTAGTCAAATAATGGATCAAAACCAAGAATCATATTGAACACATTCTAACAAGACTTCTAAACATAATCAACACCCGAAGATGTGAAATCCCACCCAAATAAACCAAGAATATGACAATACGAAATTCACGATTCAACCTAGGGCTCTAATCATATTTAAATCACAAAATCATACTTTATCTTTAAAATCAAGAACATCAAGATTTATCAAGAACAACACATAATTATCAAGATCCCCTTATAATCATCAAGATTATCAAGATCAACACATAAGATCATCTCATTTAAATCAAGAT